TTTTTTTGGTGTGCCCACCCTCTCTAAGGAGTGGTACCCATTTTATCTACTCGCTGAAGCTTTCGAACCACTGGGTGGACGGCGAGCTAGGGACAAGGCTGGTAGCTCACACCAACACGGGGCTAGAACTGACAGCCATACTGTTCAGCTCAGATGTTACTAACCAGAGGATAAATCCTCTGTGCCACCACTCCCTGTTGCTACACATCTGTGTAGCAACCCAGGTCTCCCATTCAAATACTGACCAAGGCCAATCCAGCTTAGCTTCTGAGATCAGACGAGATCAGGCTAGCTTGGGCTCTCCAAAAACAATGACAATGCTTTAACTAAATATGAATCCATTGATCCTTCTAAACTCCAAACTTCTCAACCCAAGTGTGTCTCAGGAATCGTACTAGATGTGCCCTGACGTGGATAGCCCAGGCTATCCTGATCTCGCCAGGTCTCAGAAGCTAAGCAGGGTCAGCCCTGGCTAGTAATTTGGAAGGGTGACCTCCAAGGAATACCAGGGGTGTGATGCAGAGGCAGGCAATGGCAGACCACCTCTGGAACATCTCTTGCTTCAGGCTCAGTCAGTGGTAAAGGTTCTGCTTGGCCTGAAGAAGGTCCGAGATTCAATCCCCAACATCTCCAGTTAAAAGGACCAGGGAGTAGGCAATGTGAAAGATCTCCATTTGAAACCATGGACAACCATTGCCAGTCTGACCTTGATGGACCGATGGTCTGATTCAATATAAGGTTGCCAAATGAGAAAGGAGAAGCCCCTGGGAAAGACTGAAGGTCAAAGAAGAAGGGGACGGCAAAGGATGAGGTGGTGAGACAGTGTTATCAAGGCAACGGACATGAAACTGAGCAAACTCCGGAGGACAACAGAAGACAGGAGAGCCTGGCATGATGTGGTCCATGGGGTTGCGAAGAGTCGGACTCAACTGTGCAACTGAACAACAACAACATCATGTGTATAAGGCAGCTTCATACTTTCCCATACTTCTATGTAGTACCTCAAAAATAAAGGTCTTGAGTTTCTTTCCTAAAGCAACAAGCCTCACATGGACTTTATTCCTAAAGCAGCAACCCCTCCCTCCCCGTTCCACAGCAAGAACCAGCCCTGATTCCAACAGCCAGCATCAATAACATTCTTAGGCAGGTTGAGCCACTGAGGATTTTTACCTCCTTGTCTACTGCAACATAACAAAAAAACGAAAAGGAGAGAAAAAATTGTCAGCCCAGAAAAACCAGGTAACCAAGAAGGACGACAAAAAGCCTGATGACAGGATAAATACTAATAGGTTACAATATGCTGAATCAACAAAGCCAATTCAACATATTGTAACCTATTAGTATTTATCCTGCCATTAGGCTTTTTGTAGGGTTACCATCTTTTGAAAAGCAAAGCAAAGAACATTCTGGTGTTTGTCAGTGACCAGAAGACTATGGGTCATATGAGAATTCTACCACTTTCATCCAAGCAAGACTGCCAGTCCAAGAAGACCCATCAGCCTAGTCCAACTGTATAAAAAAGATCTGTCAAACCCACCCACCTCCCTTATCTTTTATCTCCATCACCCCTTTCTTGTACACCTCTTCTTTTTAGATTGGTAAACCTGAGGGTAGTGCGTAGCTCTCTCTGTGGATAGACACAGGTGGGTAGACGTGTTGGTCTGAAGCAATGGAACCATGGGCACGATCATATGCACAATTAGCCCCGCCATAGGTGTGAATGCCAGGTGGATTTAACGGGCATGATCAGACATGAACATCTGGGAAGCGCCCCGCACCCGTTAGCAACCCGTTCTGCTCCACTGCAGAAGCGGATTAAAAAGACACCAAGGAAAATCTGGTAGTAAACGGGTTGTGACCAGCCGCGGATGGACTTTTCCGTATCTGACTGCTCCAGCGCGCTCTCATGGCGTCAGGATGGCTGATCAGGCCATCTCAACTTCATGCCATTGCCCCCCCCTTCGCAGTATGCGCATCATCGCAAACTCTATAGGGAGCCCTCACTGAAGAGAAGCGATACATCTATTCCTCGTTTAAGTGCACCGGAAACTACTGGCAACCCCCCCCCCTCGACTCATCCGTGGTTGCATCTGATCACTCAGTGGCGGGGTCTGCGCCCCGCTCTCCTCGCACGTCTG